ATAAAGTTTAATCATTTTAAAAGCAAAAAAAGGTCACTTTAGTAAAACAAAAAATGCTGCCTTTAAAAACAAGCTCTAAACTGCCTAAATGATTTAATATGCTTAGTAATTAACTGTCACGTCTCCTAAATTTGCAGCACATTTTCAGCTGTTGAACAAGAATTTTCCATGCTTTTTTAAGGAACTGCCTCTAATTTTAAGATAAATTTACAAAGAATACAAAGAGGTCCCCATGAAATATACTTTATCATCTTTGAGAGGCAGCTAACTATAGGTTTCACTTCTTTCTTTTTTTAACCTAAAAAATCAATAATGAATAATTACAATGAAAAAAAATAGACCAATGACTAGTTATACTTACTAAGAAGGATAGGAAAGTTACTTTAAAATTACTTTTAATATTAACCTACAATTAGTTATCACAGTATTGTTCCCTACCAGCTAAAATATTACCTTAATCCTCAATACTAAGTGTCCATGAACCCCAAATGTTCTTTTTAAGGTATATTATAAACACTCCTTTTGTACAACAAAAATTATGCTTTATGAAGGTCAAAACAAAACGCCTCTTGGTTAATGTCAATTTAAGTCAGAGCTTGAGAGGAAGAAAAACTTGATTAGGTATTTACTACAAAACTCTTCCTTTACACGATTGCTTATTTCTCCATAAAGCAAAAATAATGCTGACTTTTCTAAGAAAGACTATACAGAAGAGATAGAAGCCACTGACTCTCTACTTTTCTTGTTCTGTGGGATAAAATATTTGAGATCCTTATGAAAATTATCCTAGGCTGTAAGGTTCCCAAGAAAAAAAACAAACTATAGTGATGGGGAAAAGTCTAAGCTTTGCTAAACGTGGGGTTTCCCGCCCACCTCTCCCCCCAACTTTTCCCATAAAAGCAACCTCTACTAATAAAACAAAGCATCCTTTATCAAGTAGCTCCCTACAGATCCTATCTCTCCTTGAGTGCTTACCACAATCTGATTTCTGGACAGCTGACCCAAAGTTTGATGATTTTACTGATCTTCAGAAAGCCACTGACTGGCTAAAGTCTTATTGGTGAACAGAGTCAAAAATCAGATGCCCCTGCCATACTTTACAGAATGAGGAGTTGGACAGCACAGTTACGTTTGGCTGCACTGTGGTGAAACATATGAGGCATCTTCTTTTTGTCTTCAATTAGCCACGTTTGGGCTGAGTAGCTCTATTACATCTTCAAAAAACTGAGCTCCAGTTCTTGATGGAGATAGAGGAAGGTCATTGAGGAGGTGGTTCAGCTCAAGAGCTAAGTGAAAAATCTGTCTTTTGATTCAGTCCTGCTTGTGGATAGAAGTCATCTTCTGGATGGAAGAGGGAGTGAGATGACCTAGAGTCTTGAATTGGTGGATCTGCAGGAACAGAAACTAAATACAGTGGAGACCTCTTAACTGAGTAACACCACGAGATGGATTTCCTGACAATGTGTCAATATAAGCTAAATATAAAAATTAAATATGTGGATTGGAACTGATCATGCACTTGTTTTTCCAGGTATCAAATGCATCTGTACAATTCTAAGAATAAATAATGTTTTCCCAATAACTAACTGTAAAACACTTCATGGAAAAACAACCAATTTAAAGGGGGAAAAAAAGACCCAAACAAAAATCCATACACTTTGCCTCTTTGAGTGCCATACCCTCACTTTAAAAACTCACTTTAAAGAATGACTTTTTCTCTCCATCTACACAAACTAAATCTCTCTACCCAAACAGTATTAGTAACATGTATCAAATTTTGAGTTGAATCTTTTAGTTTTTTTGAATCTCCCAGAGAAATGGAATTCAAATACACTCAAAATACTAAATTGAGGCTTGAATGATCCACCTGCTCAAAAATTCTGAGACTTGCATTAAGTAAGTTGAGTCCTACTTATCAATCAAAAGGAGAGTATATACCATGGAGTCAGGCAGTCTTTAAATGTGAATAGTGGTCACCTTAAATTTCCCTCAAACTTTCATCTGAAAAAAAACTAAGAAAGCCCACAACCAGATTATAGTGGATCTAGTTTTAAATTTCTCTATATATTAACAAGAATTTTGATGAACATTTGATTACTTACTTCCACTTAGAATTTGAGTATGTAAATTTACTGTATATACTCTCACAATTATTAGACCAAGGGTCAGCAAACTATGGCTTATGGGTCAAATACGTCACTTATTTTTGTAAATAAAGTTTTACTGGGACAAAGCCATGTTTATTTGATTACATTCTTACTGTCTATGACTAGTTTCATGCTACAATGGCAAAAAAAAAATATTTGGAACAAAGACTACAGAACCTAAAATATTAAAAACTGGCCCTGTACAGGAAAAAGTTTGCCAACCCCTGATATAGATGATTATTAAAACATATGTAAAACAATTTACACTTTAAACTGTTTTGAAAGAAAGAAAAAAAAACAAGTAGATTTAAAATTAGATATAGGCCAACCATAACAAACTTACCACAAAAAGAAACCAAAAGCAAAGTAAGTCCCAAGAGGACACTTTATCTGGCGTTGATTCAGGTGAAGAATCTGATCCTATCTTAACATTACAATTTTATTTTTTAAGAATTTATACATAAATGCTATGGAACTGACATATTCAACAGTATACAGATAAATGCCATGGAACTGTTCATTTAAAAATGGTTTATGTTGTGAATTTCACTTCAATAAATTATTTTTTAAGAGTATATACAGTATTTTACAGGTTTCTAACCTTTAAGTGGGCCACATTATATTGCACTGGTTAAATATGTAAGTTACATCTTACCTAATAATGTGGTTTCTCCAAAATCTCTTAGATCATCTCAGACCCTTGTGTATATTTCTTCTTTGCCAGTAGATGGAGACAACACCACTGAAAGTTTAAAAGACATCATTCCCTGTTTAAAGGGAGCTTGCTGGTCTGCAAACTGGGGGAACCCTAACCCAAGATTTCTTCAAAGTTATTTTTTAAAAAGCAGACAGAATGGCTATGCCAAAACCAGAAATCCAAAGGAATGTACCCAATATTAACTACGGACATCCTCAAAAATTTACTAAAGGGGGACTAAACTCTGTTTATGATGTAGTAACTAATAAATAATATTAAAATGCAATCATCCCTATAACTTGGAAGATTCAAACTTCCTGCTCACTGCTCCTAATTTAAGCTAGATCATTTATTTTTCAGTTTCAGAAAATTTAACTCAGAATATGAAAGAAAAAGAGTTCTTTGAATTACACAAAGGTAGATGCAGTACATATATAGTTTTTCTAAGTATTAGTCATATGCACTGCTAGAAGCCTTTTATTCAAAATAAGACAACTATCCAGATCCACATAAAAATAATAAGAACTTTATTAAAAAGAAGAGAATTAAAGCAGAAATGGTGAAAGCAGCAAGAAAAAAATTCAACCTTATGGTCACAATGAAAAGAAATGCTCATGAAAGGAAAGACTCAAACTCCTCCAATTTCCAAGTTTATTTCACTATTAAAAATGACATACAGACCAAAACTATCTGCAAGAAATAAATTTCAAACCAGAAAGCTTAAGAAGTCATCCCAAAATAATTATTTAATATTTTTCAAATGACAACTTTCCTTTCCAAATTCAAAGCCTGAATGGAATTTTAAACAAAAAAAACAAGGTAATCAAGCTAAAAAGACAAACCTATTAAGATACTGCTATACTATTTATATTTACCAGAAGACTCCTGTCCTTAAACATGAACTAAACAAGAACAACCTATTTGGCAGAAAATGTCTTATTAAGAAAAAAGATTACCTTAAACCAAATAATAACCAGTTAAAAACGAATACAAAAATCTTAAAATCCCTTATATTTATGTATGGTTTGCTCACTCTCTGATCAAAAATCGAAACTAAAATCAGGTTCCATAGAAGGGAAATGAATATAGTACTCAGATATTAGCATGCCTACAATAACTAGGTTAAACTAGAACTGACATAACTGCTAAAGTAAATCCTCTTACGACTCATTACAAGATGAAGTCGGTAAAGTAAATCCTGAACCACAAACTTCTATTTAATTATGAAATTTTATGATTCCCAAAAGAGAGTAACTATCATGTGCTAAGAAAACTATACCCACATTCTAACTGCCTATTAAGAGCACATAAACAACCATAAACACCTTTTCATCATCCACATGGCAAATGTTCTGTGGCTTTATTTAATCCTTGGGTTGGCTTCCTCTTGACAAAGAACAAACTTTTTGACCTTTCCCAATCCTTCAACAACTAGTATGGATGAAGGTAACGCTAATTAAATAACAGCCGCCACCACAGAAAGGCACTTTGCAATTTTCAAAGTGTATTCATATATGTTAATTCAAATTTTATGACAGGAAAATCTCAAACGTAAAGTAAAAGCTATGGCCAACAACATAATTCACAATGAAAGATAAATGATATTTGTATTTTGCACAGTTACCTGTCCATCAACACAGATGAGGGAGAAATGCTTTTACCCAGATTTTTAAAGCAGTAACTGGAAATGTCCTACAATTCTGTGATTGATATAAAGCAGATACACCAAACTGCAATCTACAGACCATATTACTACAAAAGGAAATAAAAATGACCAACAAGGAATGAGTTTTCTTTATACTAACTAGATTTTGGGGGAAAACACACACAAAAACAAAACACCAGGTGTTAACCTGGCAAGTTCTTCTTGGGGATCTATGATGTCAGTGCTTCTGCCTCCACCTGCTGGCAAACAGATTATGAAACTAGCAGAGATCACTGGGTTAAGAAAAGGTTCACGTTTTGGGTAACATTTAATGTTTTATGTAATTATTTAGCATGATGCTACTTTGTGTTAATAAATCAGTAATATATTGATGAAACTCATTAGGAAAAAAACACATTAAATTTTACACACACAAAATTACAAAAGATTTCTTGGTTCAGAACATTATCTAACAGGCCAAAAAAGAAGTTAAAAAATTTTTTTAAATTACCTGATAAATGACATCTTGGAAAAGGACTGGAAAAGTAAGTGCTGCATCTTCTAGCTCATTTAGACTACAGTGTACTAGTGTTTCATCCTTAAAATAAAAAACACATACTGAATAAACCAAGATACTAAAAGAAATTTCAAATGATAATTTTATGTACCCATGATCACCAAAAACATTTATTAAAGTACTCATTCATATGTGGGATTTTATATTTATCATATTGCTGTGTGTGGCACAGCAATTTGGGATAGAATTTTCTAAGCCACTGGTTCTCACGTATGGTCCCTTGACCAGCAAGAAGTATCACCACCTTCTGGGTTAGAAAGGCAAATAACTAGTTAGAAATGCAAATTCTCCAGCTCCACTTATGATAATTCAAAAACTTCAGAAGGGGGTGAAGGAGAGAGGAGCTCAGCAATCCATATTTTAATAAACCCTTTATGTGACTCCAATGAATGCTCAAGTTTGAGAACCACTGCTCTGAGTTCTGCACTTGCCAACTTTCTGGTAAGTATAATCCATACTCCTTTTATTTAACAAATAACAAATGAAAGTTTAGAATCTAATTATTTTTAAAATTACATATATTCTATTCACATAGCTCCTTATCCTTAAATCTTTTATAAAGACTTTTATTTTATAAAATGGATGTCTTAGTATTTGTTGAATATGTTTCAGACATAAACATGATTTAACTAAATTAGCAGTCAATGAAGACTTGTCATCTTTGATCACCAAACTGTTTTCTCATTAAGAGGATAAGAAGGTGAGGATCATTCAATCTAAGATATGTGCAAATATTCATATTTCTTAAATACCGAATACAAATAGGAGGTCTATTTGTAGTTAACAAAATGCTTTCTTTTAAAAAGCTGCCAGTGACTACCCCCAAATTTTTCAATGCATTTAAAATGAATTAAAATGAAACACAAATGTTCATACCTTGTGATTCCACATCTTATTAGCTGGAGTGTTTCTTTTAACCTAAAGTTAACTCTGGGGAGGCAAAGAGCAAAAAATACTCTAGATATGCCTCATTTTCTTTTAATAGCATATCAGACTACACATTTCAAGGTACTGTCTTATCATCTTAAAAAAAAAAAAAACGGTATCCTCTTTCCTACAATTGAATAACTAATTCTACTACTTCATTTACACACTATCTAAATTTTGATCATTCTTCATTTACTTCTATAAAATTATTCATTTATGCTCAGCCAATTCCTAGCTTTCCTTCTCTATTTACCTTTAAACTGGATTAAAAATTACATGGTCAAACTTGCTATGATGACCATATCAACTCCTAACACAAAAATCTAGCAAAATCTTTTTTCAGTTTTTCCACTAACTTGCACATCACATCTAAACTACTCATAATCAGTTTCAGAATTTTTCTCTATACTTATTCTCTAATAAATATCTTAATATTTAGGACCTCTGAATACCTCTCTTACACCTCTTTGGCTAGGCAAAGGCTAAGGTGGTGAACTCTCAAAAAAGAACTATACATCCTAGTTAAGATTTAAAATAATGATCTTTTCCTCAAGAAAAAAATTTTATGAGAAGTAAACCACATCTCCAATTATAGGATACCAGTAACAAAGGCTAAATAATAAATTGTTTCCAGTATTATGTAAGAGGTAGATGTTCATTTTTCAAAGCTCTTTTGGTATCCTAAAACATAAATTTTTAACATACCAAGAAAACATATCAAAGGTTTTATTAACATTCAGAGCTCATGCTTTGGGGAGTCTATTAATAAAGTTATTGATATTAGACAATACACAAAAATAAGAACAGGAAAAGAACTATAATCTTGCATAAAGTTAACTCATTGGGACACAGATAATATTTGGTCCTTCAGGGAAACATAATCCTAACCACGACCCCCTTCCCCCCCCCCCACCATAAAAGGTGAAATCTAAGCATGAAATCAAATTATAATTTATTGGGAAATTTTTCAAAAAAGATCACAAGGGTTCCAGAAATATGGGGGAAAGAACCAATTTAAATACAAAAATGAAAGCCTAACTTATTTTCAAAGAGTACCTGATACCAACCAAATGTGGATCCTGGCATTATACTATACTTCAAATAAAAACATTTCAGAACATCCTGGACATGTTTAGTAAATGTGTAAGCCTATTCATTCAATTGTATCCTTTTAGTTATTTTCAGCTAGTATTTTAAAAAATAAATTTAACTTACTTTCCCTACCTCTATAGATAATATACTTACCAGGTCTAAAACTAAGGAGAATTCTGGTGTGCTTCTTGTTTTCAATGGAAGAGCAGGTTTCCTATTTAGTTGTTCTTCTGTCAGTGGTGGAACATGTTTGATGAAATAATACCTATAGATCAAATTTTTTTAAAAATCTCAACATTTCTATTTTTTATAAATAATATTAAACATATTACTAAATTCAGCTCATATTTAAATCTTTTTAAAATAAATCTTCAATTAAATAATATCCATTTAACCTAGTAAACCAAACCTATGAAACATAAATAAAACTGAAAATATATAAATTAGTACTTCAGTAACCCAGTAAAATTATTAATACCTAAGGGTCACATGTTCTTTGCAATATACCATTGAGCCACCCTTCCACACACACACTTTCATTCTGCTCCAAGAGCGAAAGGAAAATAAAAGACAAAAAAAAAAAAAACACAAAAAACTCACGGGTCAAATACTTCCCAGTCTTCTTCATAGGTGGCCTCTGCATGAGCTGACGAATAACCACTATCTGGAGTTACTGGTGCTATTTAATAAAAGGAAAAACAATATGTTGGTTTTAACTCACTGTGAGTATACATTTTTACTGATTTTATAGAAGATTTTCCTGACCCTTTGTGTACTTTAGGTTAAAGATATGATAGAAATAACTTGTAAACAGTATTTCAAAGCAAATTTCTTAACACATATTTCTTAACACAAATTTCTTAACTCCAGAAGCAAAGGAAAAAACTGCCATTACAGATAAAATGGCAAGCTAGATCATGGCTAGTAGAATTAACATCCTTAATAGCAAAGAAAAAATTTACTACTTATTGCTAGAAAAATATACTCCACCAAACTTCAATTTCTAACTGAATGGCGTCTATATGTGTAACCATAAAAACTTCATGCTGCCTCTTGCAGCAGTAACATTTTTCAAAGTACCTTGTACATACATAGGAAGTCAATATATATGTGTGCTGACAATAGACCCAAAGGTAGTTTTTAACCTGAGATCTATGAACATTCTTTAAGAGGTTCATGAAACCCCCTTGTGCACTTATGTTGTATGTACATTTTCCCAGGAACCTCAAGGCTATCTAAAATCTTTTAAAAGTTAAGAAATGCTGTTCTATTTAGAAACCACTGCTTCAGAGGAGGCTTTATTTTACTTCTAATTTACAAGCAACCTAAAAATAATCATGAAGCAATTCTATATGCCATGACACATGACACATGGTATATGTTTAAGCTAAAATTCTATCAACTGACAGAGCTTTAGAAATTATGCTGGAAGGGGCACCTAGCTTGCTGAGTCAGAAGAATGTAGGACTCTTGATCTCAGGGTCTTGAGCTTGAGATCCACAATGGGTGTAGAGATTACTTAAATAAATAAAAAAACCTTGCTGGGAATTTTCTAAGACAATAATTACAACTTAAATTCAAGAAGACAAAAGATAATATTAGTCAGAGGTAATGTTTCAGACAAAAGCTTAAGTTGGATGCTACAGACTGAATGTTTGTGCCCTCCCAAAATGGTATTTGGAGGTGAAGACTTTAGGATGTCATGAAGTCATTAGGGGGGAGCCCTCATGAACAGGATCAGTGCCCTTATAAAAGAGACTCCAGGGACACCTAGGTGGCTCAGTTGGTTAAGCGTCCAATTTGGACTCAGGTCATGATCTCGTGGTTTGTGAATTCAAGCTCCACATCAAACTCTCTGCTGTCAGTGCGGAGCCCCTTTGGATCTTTTGTCTCTCTCTCTCTCTCTCTCTCTCTCTCTCTCTCTCTCTCTCACTCTCTCAAAAACAAACAATGGGGCGCCTGGATGGCTCAGTCGGTTAAGCGTCCAACTTTGGCTCAGGTCATGATCTTATGGTTCATGAGTTCAAGCCCCGCATCAGGCTCTGTGCAGATAGCTCAAAGCCTGGAGCCTACTTGGAATTCAGTGTCTCCCACTCTTTCTGCCCCTCTCCCACTCATTCTCTTTCCCTCTCTCTCTCTCTCTCAAAAATAAACATTAAAAATTTCTTTAAATTATAAAAAAAATAAACATTACAGAAAAAACAAAAACAAAAAACAGAGACTCCAGAGAACTCACATAGCTTCTGCCATGTGAGGATGCATGAGAAGACAGTTGTCTATGAACCTAAAAGCAGGCCCTTAACCAGGTCCTGAGTTTGCTGGCACTTTGATCTTGGATTTCCCAGCCTCCTAAACTGTGAGAAATAAATTTCTGCTGTGTATACACCACCTAGTCTATGGTAGTTTGTTACAGTAGCCCAAAAGGACTAAAATAGTGGAACACGGTAAAAACTGCTGTAATCTGTCTATAGGAATGGAATATTGGTGGATAATAGTCTTTCAGGACAAAAAGAAATCATTTTTGCTATTATGATATATTAATTTCTTACGTATGAATTACCTTGTAACATAGTATGTTCAGTGAATGCCAGATGTAAATAATAATTTTTGTCCATCTGTAATAACTTTATGCCAATGACAGTTCATTAGCACAAGGGTTAATAGAAAAATACAACTTCTAACCACTTCTGTTTCAAATTCCTATTAACCTCAGAAAAAGGGAGAAAGGAAGTAATATTTGAGAGCCTTCATGCTAAGCATTTTTCTTCTTTCATCCCATTTAGCCTTTAAAACCGTGAATTATTATTACCCTTTTAAAGCTAAGAAAACTGACTCAAGTGAGCTTAAATTGTCTAAAGTCACAAAGCTAAGTAAATGGTAGAGCCAGCCTCCTTCTGTCTTGTTCTCTTTGGCTTAGTTCTTAAGGAAAAGTAATAATCTTTGTCACTCATACTCATCTTTTAAGATCAGCAAAAATTTTACTTCTCTCCTGTCATGATACTCCCAGAGTAAATATAATATGCCACCTCATCATTTTGCTCATTTATTTGTAACAGCACTCACCACACTGTACAGTAATTTTTGTGTATACCTGGCTCATCAATTAGATCATTCACTCTTCAGGGTCAAGAAGCATTATCTTATTCATCTTCATAAACAATGCCCATCACAAAAAATAGATGTTCAATAAATGTTAGGGGACTAAATGAATGAATGAATGAGACAACAGGACTAAATTTTCCTTTTCCCCTCTAGAAATCACTATGGTTATAGAACTCCCTTCTCCATTTTCATAGTTGTCAGGGAAAAAAAAAATACAGCAGCACAAAAATATAGAACAAACATCAAACACGAGGCCCAAAGCCCTGGACTTTGTCTACTTTACAATTCACTAGCTTAAACACTGGCAAAGTAATGAGCATAAAATGACAGGTCAAGAGTAGGTTCATTTGCAAGTTTTAACCACCCAAAATGAACTATGTGCACCATATTGATTTGCTTGTCAGATTCAATATTATTCTTAAATTACAACATTATAATTTAACATTACAGATATTAACATTACAGAGCCCAATCTTTTATTCGACCAAGTTAAAATAAATCTTTCCTATTTTATGTCACTTTTCATTTTGGTACGACTGGGTTGCACTATATAGAAATTTCATAATTGTATGCATTTTTTCTTTAAATGTTTTCAGCTGTTTGGATTGTAGTTTTTCAAGTTTCTCCTTTATATTCAAGGGAAGAACATATTCTACTTCCTTACACCAAACTACATTTCTGAACCAATACATATGTGCAAATGCCTGGCATTATAAGAAATAAACAAATCTAAAAGTGCCTGGGTGGCTGTTGGTTAAGGGTCTGACTCCTTGATTTCAGCTCAGGTCACAATCTCATGGTTTGTAAGATTGAGCCACACATCAGGCTCTGTGCAACTTGCTTGGGATTCCCTCTCTCCCTCTTTCTCTGCCCCACCCCTGCTCATGCTTTCTCTCTCTCTCTCCCTCTCTCTAAATAAAAAAATAAACATGAAAAAAAGATTTTTTTAATCTAAAATAAAAGCCTAAGATCTTGTCCCTCTGAGAAACGATGACCGCCCTCAATTTTATTTCTGCTTTTAAGTATGATGGAACAGTTTCATCTTTTAGCTTTATGCATCTGTATACCACAACCCTCAGAAGTAATAAATTCTGATCTCATGTGTTCTACATTTCCATGACAAGTGGCTCAGGGACCAAACAATTATGTTAGGCTTTTATAAGGATCCAGAATTAGGCTGCAGTTTGAATACAGGGCAAGATCTAGGAACAGAAGCTTCTTGGGGGGGGCGGATGTCATCTATATATGCAACAAATCCGAAGGTGTAAAGCTGCCGTTAGGTAGGGACTTCAGACTTAAGGGTCTGAGACTGGGTACAATTACAATAAATATACTCATAAACATGAGCATCTATTTCGTTATTTGTGTTCAATTTCTCTAACTAGTAAGATCAGTACAAATAATTAAACTGTAAAATGATTAATTCTCAATCAACAGAACCTTCTAAAAACTTTCAATTTCAAAATGACTGTATATCTGGGAGAAAGTTTTATTTTCGATTTTAATTGTCTTATGTTCAAGGAAGAAAAACATGCATTTGACATTAAATAAAAATAAATAAATACCGTATTTTTCTAAATTCATGAAGATGCATAAGAAAAGGAATTTTCTTCACCTGTAAGGGGTGGGATATCACGATTAACTGTTTCTTCTGCTTCTTCTAAACCATTATTTATCGATGGTCTCACTTGAACTGCTTGATTTGAGTAAGCTGCTCCATTAGTTGATGTCGTAGTACTGGTAGTGATCTCATCCACCTGTTCCATATCAAGTTGTTTTACTATCTCTTCAGCTTCCACAGCCTGTCCTGGGGAATCAGATCCTGATGTTCCTATAATCAAGATTCAGTGTACTCACAACCATCATTTAAAAAATCAAAAGGGGGGGCGCCTGGGTGGCGCAGTCGGTTAAGCGTCCGACTTCAGCCAGGTCACGATCTCGCGGTCCGTGAGTTCGAGCCCCGCGTCGGGCTCTGGGCTGATGGCTCGGAGCCTGGAGCCTGTTTCCAATTCTGTGTCTCCCTCTCTCTCTGCCCCTCCCCTGTTCATACTCTGTCTCTCTCTGTCCCAAAAAAAAATAAATAAAAACGTTGAAAAAAAAAATTTTTTAAAAATCAAAAGGGAGTGGCAGGATAGATGTTTTTAAGGGTACAAACTTATATAGCAAGCAAACATAAGCCCTAGAGACCTAAGGCACAACAGAGTGCAGACAACAATATTGTATTATAATCATCAAACTTGCTGACACTAGAATTATTCCAACCACTAAAAAGAAAGGATGATTATGTAATGTGATAGAGGTGCTAATTATTGCTACATGGCAATCATATTAAAATATATAAATGTATCAAATCAACATGTTATACCCTTAAACTTACATAATGTTGTATATCAAATATATTTTAATAAAGGGTTTTTTTAAAATGCTTATTTATTTATTTTGAGAGACAGTGTGAGCGAGTAGGGGAGGGGCAGAGAGAGAGGGAGAGAAAGAATCCCAAGCAGACTCTGCACTGTCAGCACAAAGCCCCACACGAGGCCTGATCCCACAAACTGAAATCATGACATGAGCCAAAATCAAGAGCTGGTTGACTGACTCAACCACCCAGGTGCCCCTCAAATACATTTTAATAAAACTAAAATTAAATATTGAAAAATAAACTCATAAATATTTAGAAAAACTAAATGCAACAGACATAGAGCTGATGATCACTGTTTAGTGAGTCTCTTCTAGATATTTCAAATAATGAGGAATAAAGACTATTATAAGCTACAGTGCTATTAGTGAACAAAATTTTTCTTAAGAGTGTTCAGTTTAGAAACATCCACCTATATAGACAGTCATAATTTAGAACTTTAAAAAATTTTTATTGAGACATAATGGACATACGACATTGTGTAAGTTTTAGGTGTATGTGCTAATTTAACAAATCTATATATTGCATTATGGTTACCAACCTAGTATTAGCTAATACCTCTATCCTGCCACATCGTTATTTTTTGTGGTAAGAAAATCTAAGATCTAGTCTCTATGCAACTTCAAAGTATACAACACAGTATTGTTGACTACAGAACTTCTTTTCAATAAAGCAAATATCATTTATTAAGTGTCTACTATGAGCTAGGCATTGTGTGTGTGTGTGTGTGTGTGTGTGTATTTTTCATTATCCTCAAATTAGTCCAGTACTAAGTAAGCATCCTAGCCACTGTGGACAGAGGTAGTTATCCAAGAATGAGCTGTTACCCTAACCATCAGAACATTTTTATTCAGAGACACAAGAACAATTTCCTAACACGATTCCATCTCAGTAACAAAGACTGAAGTTAGTTTCCTAATCATACTCAGCCACAACCTAAATGACCCTGCTACCCAATTCTTCCACGATGAGATGACCCCAACTCTATTTCCTTATGGAATCCTCCAAATGTCATTTTCAAAAACAAAATCAACCTCCCATACTCTCAATTTTCTCAGACAACATTCCTTCTCCCTCAAAGCTTTAAATGTGACTTATTTCCAAAAAATCTCTTCCTGATACCTTTCCCCTCAAAGCTCTTTATTCTTCCATACTCAACATACTAAATGAATCAGAATTCATTTATTCCACTGCTGCCACCAAATCATTGGTTTTCCATTAACGTGCAAAAATTCCTCCTCCTTTGAGACTGATGGCACCTAGCTTTGTAGTTCTTCATTTATCCCCACTGCTGTCCTCTACCAACTGTTGCCAGCATCCTCTCTCAACCAGACGAATTTAACACCTAGCTACCAGTTTAAAGCTCTATGAAACACCTGCTGGTTGTTACTACAGGGGATGTCAATGACTCATCCCTAAGACTAATCAAAGGTCTTGCGCTCTTAAGCTCCATCTTCATACACGCTGCTCTCTTTAGCAAGTACCATGACCATAACCTGGACATTCACAGTAAGAAACTGTTCATCTCTGAAAACTAAAGTTCAAATGTATCAATCCACTACCAAAACTTCCTAACCTTTTAATTACCTATTTCATATTCCCATTACATGTGACCTTCATGTTTGATAAAGGCCAGTCTCATTCCAAACAATCCCTTAACAGCCCCTTCCCCACCCTTCTCATCTAGTCAGACTGCATGGTATATCACTTAATACACTCACAAGCCAGCAGCTTCAGTATTCTTGCTCCCTCGTCTTTCAAATGTCACCCATCATAGAAATCTCTCTTGAATCAATGTAACTTACAGGCTTACTGGATTATGTATGTATTTCTTTTAATTATACCCAACAACAAACATTCTAAACCTTCACTGTTCTCTTCAGTCCCCGCCACCAGGAATCTCAGCACATGGCACCATCTCCTCCTTCAAAGAAAAAGTAACTTACCAAAAACCAACTTCTTCTGCCCATTTATTTCCGCACACACCTTCACAGCTTCTTTCCTTTAGCACTAGAGAAAAATATCTCTTTTCCCTCTCTTCTCCATTCTAATCCTTCTACTATCTGTTTCCATAATCTCATCATTGTCAGCAGACTCCAGAAACTTTCTTCATTAGTTATTTTCCCCCTATTTTCAACCTCTTCCTATGAGACTCCTCCCTGAGGCTTAAAAACATGCTGGTCTCTCACAAAGAGAAACCACTCGAGACTTGGTAACCTCTCTAATTTTATAGTCAAGTAGTTCGTAACAGTAACCTACATTTGCTGCTTCCTTTCTTACTCCCATTTTACTCTTTTAACCCAAATGTGTTAGGCTTCCAACTCCAGCCACTCTCCTGAAACTGTTCTGGCAAAAGAAACCAATAACTTGGGATGCCTGGGTAGCTCAGTTGGTTAAGCATCCAACTTTGGCTCAGGTCATGATCTTGTGGTCCATGAGTTTGAGCCCTGTGTCAGGCTCTGTGCTGACAGTTCAGAGCCTGGAGCCTGCTCTAGAGTCTGTGTCTCCCCTCTTTCAGACCTCCCCCACTAACACTCTTGCTCTCAAAAAATAAACAAACAAACAAACAAACAAACATACATTAAAAAAAAAAAACAGACAGAAAGAAACCAGTAACTTTGTAATTGCCAGGCTCAGCAGTCTCTTTTCAATACTCATTTCCTTTCCTTCAATCTTTACAATTGTTTGACCCTGGGTTTTGATATTCTCTTTTCCTTTGGCTTCTATGACACAAAATCTCCTGGCTTCTTCCATGTCTTTGTTGCTTTCTTTTACTTTGTCCATCCTTAAATATATTCCAAGATCTTAGTTTGCTGAACATTTACTCCATTAGTTTCAAATGATACCTATAAGATGGTAATATAATAGTCTACTGCTTAAACCCAGGTTTCTAAGCTCCACACAAGAAGGACAAATGGCTACCAGACATTTTTATTTGGTTGTTTCATAGCATCTCAAACTCAGTATGGCCCACCTATCTCCTAGAACCCAACCTCTCTTGAAAAAATAACCTTGTGTCATCTTAATCTCTGGTCTCTTTCACCTCCAATCTGTGCTCAAAATTTGTCTACTCTATATCTCTGATCCTTCTTCTTTTCTCTAATATCATAGTTAAGGCTACATGAAGTCTCATGTGGACTACAAGTCTACTAATTGTTTTCCCCCAACACAACCTTTTTAGAATGTAGCTGACACATTGTGATTTTTAGAAAACAAAAATCTGTTCATATTACTCACCAGTTTAAAACCTTTCAGTCATCCCCCACCAAGGATAAAATTCAAATATCTTACCATGTTAGTTTTGATCTGCCATCTTCGTAACTATCTTAACCATCCTGTGCACTCCTCAAATCCAATGGTCTATCTGTAACTAATTTCAGTTTCTCAAACACACTATGCCTTTGCTCACGCTGCTCATTCTACCTGGAATACCCTTTACCACCTTTCAAGATTCAGCTTTTCTATAAAGACTATTGTGAGATGTCAGAATATAGAACCATTCCATCCTATGAATACCATACTACCCCATACCTCTATCAGTGCACTTATAAAAATTTATTATACCTATTTATAGATCTCTCTCCCTCTTGTAAAAAATTAAGCTCCTTGAGCACAGGGACCATGGATGTGTTAAATATCCTTGAATCTCTAGCGATTAATACAATGGCCAGGACACAGCAGATACTCAAATGAATGACATGAAATCTTCGAATCGCCCCTGCCCCATATTTAAGTATAGTTATCCTCTCTCACAGACAAAGAGGCTCAAGAATTTAAAGAACTAGACCAAGGTAACACAGCTAAAGAGGCAGAGCCAGGATGAGGATGAGGATGAGGAGGAGGATTTGTTGTTGCTGTTGTTGTTGTTGAGAGCAAGGGGCAGAGAGAAGAGAGGGGGAGGGAGAAGGAGAGAGAGAGAGAGGTGGGGCTCATGTTTACTGGCTCAAGCTCACCAAAAGTGGGGCTCAAGGTCACCCAAAGTGGAACATGTGCTCACCCAAGCAGGGCCCAAGCTCATGAACTGTGAGATCATGACCTGAACCGAAGTGAGATGCTTAATGACTGAGCCACCCAGGCACCCAGGAGAGCTGAAATTTTAAGACAGGTTTCTCTAATTCCAAGGCCCATTCTTTTCCCACTACACCAGCTATTTCCAAAGTTGGTCTATGGGGCACTAGTTTTACAAGATGTTAACAGATGTTCCACAAAAAAGGGTTCACTGGATCATACATGTCTAGGAAATACGGGGTTAAACAAAGTTAAAGGTAGTTTTTTGTTTTATTTCTACTATAGGACTTCACAGTCCTTTTAAATGTGCTAACATACATTATTTTCATCCCCCAGAGCATCTAGATTTTTATAGTGCACTATTCTGCCTTTTAAAAATCGTATTATCATCCAGAAACATATTCAAATTAGAATTTAAATAATCAGGCAACAAGCACTTAATGGCTATTTTCTATGTGCCCCATACTATCAAACAACATGGTGGATGCAAAAATAAAGACAAGATCTCCTGCCCTCACATAAAGACTAAATGATCATTTATGAAATTAACAATTATTCATAAAAAAAGAACACTAGCTATCTCTTTTTAAAATATGCCAGGGGCACCTAGATGGCTCAGTCAGTTAAGCGTCCAACTTTGGCTCAGGTCATGATCTCATGGTTTGTGAGTTTGAGCCCTGTTGTCAGGTTCTGTGCTGACAGCTCAGAGCCTGGAGCCTGCTTCAGATTCTGTGTCTCCCTCTCTCTGCCCCTCTCCTACTCACACTCTGTCTCTCTCAAAAATAAATAAACATTAAAAAAATTTTTAAGAAAAACAAAAAACAAAAATAAAATGCTGGGGCTGGGAGGGGGGCGGGGGGCACCTGGGTGGCTCAGTTGATTAAGTATCTGACTCTTGATCTCAGGGTCGTGAGTTCAAGCCTCTCACATTGCGCTCAGTGCTGGGTGTGGAGCCTAAAAAAAATGCTGGGCAACAATCCAAATTTCTTTTGCAAAGGCATTTCATTTGAATTAGAGTAGTTTTACTAAATATCCAAATTAATGACCCCTATGGGGAAAAATCAAGCAAACGAAAAATAAAAATAAAATGTGTTACAAAAAATGACCTACTTTCAGCTCACTTAAATATTCAACAAATTCCACTTTACTGATCTAGAATATTGAAAATGTTTCTGGATTCTCTCCTATACACAGTATCATAAAAATCATTTTCCTTCCAGCTCAGAGTTTATCATCTAGCTTTTCGGAGAGTGAAAGCGGAGTTCATGCACTTCAACAGAGTTAAACATAACCTAAATGTATTTCAGTCCATTAAAAAAAAAAAACAGTCTTTCAGGAGCTGTGTATTTTTAATGAGGCTGAAAACAAACTAAGATGCTCACAAAATACTCCAGTAAAATCAAACAGATCTCTTGAAAAACCAGGAAAACTAATTTTTAAACCCAGATTATGGTTTATGGGTAATAGTTTATACTTACCATTTTTATTTGCTGGTGAAAAAAAGTTGAAGACAGGAGAAAATATGGTCCCCAACAATGTAGTCCTTGGAGGACTGCCAGAGGAAGGATTATCTTCTAATTTTCCATTTTGTTTTACATGTTGATTTGTCACTTCATAACTACCAGCTTCTAAGGCAAAAAAAAAAAAAAAAAAAAAAAAAAAAAAAAAAAAAAGTTGCAATCTAGAAAACATGACTTTGAGAAATGTGTTTTAAACAATTCATTATGAAAATATTTTTTCCCTTAAAATACTTCATAAAAACTGATGAACACTAATGTTAAGAAAGCTTTACTTAAAAAAATCCTGAGGTAAATCAAATGATCTTTATAACAAATTTATTTATTTATAATGTTTTATAACTGCTACAAAACACATTTACATCTAGAAGTATATATATAGACTGAAGTTTCTAGTATGTAGACTATAGGCTTCCACAGTGTAACAGAAAATGAAATAAACTCTTTGTAAGTAAAGCAAGTTACAACAAAATGAAATAAACTCTTTGTAAGTAAAGTAAGTTACATCAAAAACACAAATGCAAGACTGTGTCTTTATTTACATTTTGGGATGCTGCCTACTTCATAAAACCGACCCTCCAGTCTCTTACTAATGAATAACAGCTAAATAAATAGCGGCAACATATATATACTGAAGCAGAAGACTATGTATAGTATATAGCAAAAATTACTTATGTGCATACCGAGGCACCATTTCAGAGTGGTTAAGAAAAACAGGTTTTTTGTCTTTTGTTTTTTTAGATTCTTAATAAAAATTTTTCATGGGTTTTGGAAAATAAACAATAAAAATAAATTCACACAAATGTGTTTTGATTAATCATCCTTGACCTTTCACAACTTTACTTGGTATCTACCCACATTTCTTTCTTTCTTTGCTGCTATAGCTCTTTTCTTTTTCCCTAATAGTTCAAAATTTAGAGATACAATATTGAATTGACAGGAAAGAGGGAAGGTATTCTTGCTGTTGTGTTTAAAACGCAGCACCCCATGCTCTAAAGTGTTCTTTATACCTTCCTCTGCTTGTCCTTCTTGTTTTTCTCCTTCTTTTGGACTTGGGGAGCTTCTCAGCAATACTATAACAGACTGACCTAGAACAAGATTTATCAACAGCAGCACTACTGACTTGGAGCTGGACAATTCTTTATTATGGGAGGATACCCTGTGCATTGTAGGATGTTTAGCAGCAGCCCTAACCTCCACCTGCTAGATGCAAGTAGCAATCCCACCATAGGTTGTGACAACCAAAAAGGTCTCTAGACATTAACAAACATCCCCTAGGGACAAAACAACCCCTCATTAAGAATCACAGCCCTGAGTGATCCAAGACCCCTCTGAGCTGAAGTTCCATGATCCAGAAACAAATTCTTTGTACTTATTTCAGTAAATTAAGTCACAATTATTACTGCTGTAAGAAATGAATTTATTAGAGGTCAAAAATGTTGTTCTGTATGCATTTTCATGATAAATAGTATAAAGCCAGTTGTTCTGCCTTTATTTGTCATTTTAATTCATCAAAGTATATTTATATGAGGTAATTTTTATTTCATTTCATGCTAATACTTAATACAAAGGAGATTACAAAATAAGGCAAAAATTACACACATTCAATTTTTAAAAACAGAAAAGAAACACGTCAGGTGAAATTTCTGCTTAGACCTAATAGAAGAATATCTAAATATTAACAAACCTCCATTTACTTGACTTTTCCGTCTTACTCGAGATATCTGTTTGTTAGGCTTTTCTCCTGCTCTTGGTGTTGATGTGATCAAATTATTATCTATATCACGTTCAATCCTACTCCGTTTTGAAGGATTTTCTCTCTCTTCCTTAAGATATGAGGAAAAAAACATGCATTGAGCATAGGCATTCTGCCTTACAGGTTACACTTATAAAATATGGTATGTACCCCCGTTTACTGCAGCTTAATTTACAATAGCCAACAGAAACAACTTAAGAGTCCATCTATTGATGAATGGATAAAGAATACATGGTGTGTGTATGTATATATACATATATTAATATCAAATTATGTTGTACACTGAAACTAATGTTGTATATCCATTATACCTCAATCTTTTTTTTTTAATTTTTTTTAACGTTTTATTTATTTTTGAGACAGTGAGAGACAGAGCATGAACAGGGGAAGGTCAGAGAGAGGGAGACACAGAATCTGAAACAGGCTCCAGGCTCTGAGCTATCAGCACAGAGCCCGACGCGGGGCTTGAACTCAGGAACCAAGAGATCATGACCTGAGCCGAAGTCAGCTCTTAACCAACTGAGCCGCCCAGGCGCCCCTCAATCTTTAAAAAAGGTACAATATGTGTAATATATTTTCCTGTTTTCACATGCAGGAGAAACAAAATAGAATTATATAATATCCAAAAGTGGTAAAAAACAAAGTAAAAATTTGACAATGTTGTAGGGGTGCTTATTATTAATGCACTTAAAATACACAAATATAATCACAGCATTCTCAATTCAGATCCTTTCCCCAATGTCCATTACACTGTCTGTGCTATTGAAACACTCGAATTGTAAGATGTGCTCTGAATTTTCAGCAATACTCCCCTACTCTTAGATTTGTCCAAAAGAACAGTGGTTGTTCTTTTGGACAACCACTCAGGGTAAGCACTCAGGGTAAGAAACAGAACCTCACTGGAATTTGTTGGCATATCACATATTACCAAAATAACAAGGCTTGCCAATGCCACACCCAATGCCAACCTCAATTCTTTAAATGCCCAAATTAACACTAAGGAGTTTACTCCTTAATGAAGCTCTCTATTCATTTCCTTATATGGGGCAAATCTACACCACCAGTGTACATTGTTTTTGCGATATTATTGACTAAAAGAGTATACTCCAAGTAATACCTGGTTTGTCTTCACTTGTACGTCTATTTTTCTCATTTGTAAAATTTTTCTAGAGTCATCGACCACATGAGCGATTTTCTTACATTACTGTAATACTGACCTATAATCCCTTGCTGTATTTTTTATTTTTTAGTAATCTTTTTTTTCTTTAATCTTTACTTATTTTTGAGAGAGAGACAGCGTGTGAGCAGGGGAGGAGCAGAGAGAGAGGGAGACACAGAATCAGAAGCAGGATCCAGGCTCCGAGTTGTCAGCACAGAGCCCGACGTAGGGCTTGAACTCATGAACTGTGTGTGACATCATGACCTGAGCCGGAGTCGGACGCTCAACTGACCGAGCCACCCAGGCGCCCCTTATTTTTTAGTAATCTTAATCTCTACACCCAATGTGGGGCTCAAAACCCCAAGATCAAGAATCACATGCTCTACCGACTAAGCTACCCAGGTGCCCCAATTCCTTGCTGTTTTAATGAGACTACCTGAATCCTTTTGGTAAGGATGAGATTAGAGATTCTTAAACCTATATTAAATATAATTTATATGTATAATCAACATTCTTATTCAACAAGAGTAAGAATTCTCTACTCATACTGAATATTTGTACTTAATGCTTTTATACCACAGTAAATAATATGCTACTATGCATTTTTTAAAGGTTGAATATTATTTTATTTCTGAAACAAACCTTGGTATTGTAAATGAACACAATTACAATTTCCTATTTGGATGAAAACAGAACAAAGATACTGTCAAAATATATCAGTCCATATCATACCACATAGAATTTTACTTTTACTCAGTAGTTTTGCTAATTTTAGGTAGCTCCATTACAACAGTATGTCTATTATAGCACAAAATAACACTTCAGTGATCCACAACAAAATTCTTCATATGTTTACTATTTATCATTCCCCTGCATGTTTAAAAGATGAACAGGGAAGCCTCATATCCCAAATATGGGAACTCCATTGCCAGAAAACAGAACTCTCTTCATAAAGTCCTTCAAGAACAGAAATAACACCACAAAGCCAACAAGACTAAGCTCCAGCATCTTCTTAAAGAAGTCTCTTAGTACATCTGCTATAACATAAATACTTACATTCTGAAAACCCTGCATTCTGCAACACTAAAAATAACAAGGCTTAAGGAAAAAAATCAGTCAATGCCCCGTTAACTCTGTAACCATAGCACCAACAAAAACAATGATTGGGACACCTCCAGAGATAACTTGGACACCCCAGTGAGGGAGCTAACAGCAGCTGAAATGCTACCTCAGGGCTTAATAAAAGGTAATAAAAACAGAAGGAGAAACAAGGGCTTATGGGAGCTGAGAGGAGCTTTAAGCCAGTAGGGCAAAAATGGACACAAAAGGAAATGCAAACTGCCACGTGAGAAATGTCTCTGCTAGATCACAGTGTACCTCTCTAGGAGGCAACCCCCCATTGCTAATTATCACTTCTAATTAAAAACTGTGTGTGTGTGTGTGTGTGTGTGTGTGTGTGTGTGTGTGTGTCTGTGTGGGGCTTTTGTTTCTGTAGCAGCTGAATTGAAAGTTTTTTACTTTCCTGATGAAATATAAAATTCAACTCCCATTACTCAGGATCCCCTTGTCCAGTTCAGGAAAAAATCATGTATAAAGCAACACATCACCCATGTTATACTGACACTATTCCCCTATTTACCAATAGTCTAAGCTAGTTGATACTGTGGAACTACATGTTTATTGTAGCAGAAGAGACTATACTGTGGTCAATTAAAAATACATATAGTATTTTTGCATACATAAAGTATGTAAATACATACAGAAAGTAAAAATATTTTAGCTTACATCTCTAAGGAGGAAGAGGAAGCCATTTTTTTTTAAGTTCATTTATTTTGAGAGAGACAGACACAGTGTGAGTGAGAGAGGGGCAAAGAGAGAGGGAGACAGAGAATCCCAAAAGGGCTCCATAGTGCCAGAGCGGAGCCCAAAGCCAGGCTCAAACCCATGAAACCATGAGATCATGACCTGAGCCAACACCAAGAGTCAGAAGCTTAACTGACTGAGCCATCCACCAGGAAGGTAGTATTCTTAAATCTCTGAATCCCAAGGGAAACACACAGAGCTAAAGAGGCAACAAAAACTCAAGGTGAAAATAACAGCAAAAACAAGGGGACAAACCAACAGCCACCATACCTGAATGCCCACATACACTAGTGTAGAATAAAGGGATCAACAAGGTGTGTGACACACCTGAGAACAAGAGAAGCCCAAAACAGCTAAAAGGTAGGTATTCAATGTAAAGCATGGCAGGTCAATGTTAAGACGGGAAAAAGTTGTGCCCAATCTAATAGCAAAGGGGTCCATGGTGAGAATGAAACAACAGCTCCTATGAACTCCTAAAACTGACCAACTAAGGCTCTCTTCTAGAACAGGGCTCCACACTAAGGGGAAACTGCTGGGAATGGAATCAAAATTGAGTAGCAAAGAAACAAAAGAAAAGAAGAAGAGCGAAGTTTCAGATAAACATGAGGTAAGAATAAAGAGACAGGAAAACTCAAAAAGTAATCACTATATTTTTTAACACTACACAAAACTAGTTAGAAAAGATACCCTGTGGGGGTGCCTGGGTGGCCCAGTCAGTTAAGTGTCTGAGTCTTGATTTCGGCTCAGGTCATAATCTCACAGTCTGCGGGACCAAGTCCCACGTGAGGCTCCATGCAGACAGAGAAGATCGTGCTTGGGATTCTCTCTTCCTTTCTCTCTGACCCTCCCCTGCTCATGTTCCCTCTTTCATTCATAAATAAATAAATAAATAAATAAATAAATAAATAAATAAATATTTAATTAAAAAAAAAAACACATATATTTGTGTGTGTGTGCATATGTATAAAGAATGACATCAGTAAAAGAAGCATTATAGATAAAAATTATAACTTATTTCAAAGCAAAAGACTTACTAAGAAAACAATACGAGACACACATCAAGAGTTAGAAAATTTCAAATCAGAGACAAAATAATTAGACATAAAAGAAAAAAATCACACAGTGCAAAAACGATCAACTTTTTCATAAAAGTGAAAATTAAAAACCTGGCATCATCCTCATTATTTTAGTCATGCTGTGCCTATGTTATAGCAGTTCTGAATTTCGGGATAAAAAAAGAGATGGGCCTTGAACATCAGGAGTTTATGCTCTAAGATACAGAAGGATGCTTTACTGTAATATCAGAAATAAAGACTGAACCAGAACAGACATAAAAGTGAGTAAACAACAGATTAGGTCTTTAATTACTTATTTTTTATTTAGTAGGCTCCACACCCAGCATGGAGCCCAACATGGGGCTCAAACTCACGACCTTGAGATCAAGACCTCAGCTAAGATCAGACCCTGAGATCAAGACCTGAGCTGAGATCAAGAGTCAGATGCTTAATCAAGTGGGCTAACCAGGCACCCCTAAATTATGTTTTTTAAAAGAAACAGAAGATAAAATGGGGGAAAAATTTTAAAGACATCAAAATATTACGAATACTGAAGATAGATAAAGAAGATCCAATGGACAGAAAATAGTAGTCCCTGAAGAAGGAAACCAAACAGAAAGTTTTCCACAAAGAAAAGATTTTAAATTACATGTTGAAAGATATGTTTAACTAAAACTATCAACCCAGAAAAGCAAACAAAATATATCCTAAACTTCATAGAATTTGAAGGAAAAAAAAAATCCTTTGGAGATCAAAGGAAAATCACTTCATTTATAAAGGTAAAAAATTAGATTATCATCAAACTTCCAACAGCAATGCTTTTATGTCAGAATAAAATGGAATAACATTTAAAATAATTACAAACAGAAAAGGCTACCCGAGTATTTTATATGCAGCAAAACTGATTTTCAAGCTTAAAGAGTACTGTTATCAATGTGCAAGAATATTGTTCCCATGAGTACTCTCTGTGGCATCTACCAGAAAATGAGCTTC